CCCCCCCCTTTTTTTTGGTGGTTTTTTTTTTTTTTTTTTCCAAAACGGAAAACACCCAAGTTCCATTTTTTTTTTCCGGGGTTTTTGGGGCCGGAGGGGGGGGGCCGCCCAAGACCCCCGGGGGGGGTTGTGGGGGGGCGGTTTTAGGGGCTTCTTGGGGAAGTTCAGGGTGGGCCCCTTGGGGGGGGGGGGGGGGAACTTCTTAAGGGCGGGGGGGGCCTTTTTAAAGGGGTTTTTTTTTTTTTTTTTTGGAACATTTTTTTTTGGGGGGGGGCTTTTGGTGGCCGGAAACATTTTGGGGGGTGGGGGAACCCTTTTTTCTTTTTTTTTGAAGGGGGTTTTGTTTTTTTTTTCGGGGGTTTCCCCGTTTTTTGGGGGAAGAAGGTTTTTTTTTTTTAGGGGTTGTTTTTTTTGATTTTGTGGGAAAAAAAACCCCCGGGGGGGGTTTTGGCCGGTTTTTGGGGTTTGGGGTCCCCCCCCCCCCCCCCCCCCGCAGAAGCAGAGCGCCTCCTCGAGTTTGCACAGCCACAGCGGTAGCTCTTCGTGCGGCGTAAGAGCACCACATCTCGTTAGTTGTACAGAGTTGTACCGATGTTTTTGTCTGTTGACGATAGCATTTTTTGTCTTGTCGGCTTGGGTTGGCATCCATGCGACCTCAGTCTGATTGGCCTGTCATACCTGGCGTGCCGTCGAGCGAACACGGTAACCTTTCCACGAAGAACTACCGTTTATCACTACGAGTACGACCGACGTAGTTCGTCCTTGTTCGGAATCTCTTTCGTGACGTTGCGTTCCCCTCTTGTGTGTGTTTTTTTTATTATTATTATTATTTCTCAGGTACTGCCGACTGGCCGGAGGCATGGCGGTGGAGAACGACCTCGACCAGCGGCAGCGTAACGTCATCGTCAACGCTTACGAGGCCAAGCACGCGGGTTCCATCGAGGAAGGGTCGGAGGGGGAGGCGGAGGAGCGAGCGAAGGTCGCAGCCGACTTGGGTGAGTGCTCCTCTTGTTGTGGTGTTGCCGTGCTGGTTTGTTAAGAAGTTGCTGCCGTTGTTGTTGGTTGTTGGTTGTTATTGTCGACGATGTTGTTGTTGTGGGTGTTGACGGGAGAATAGTTTTGTGTTTCGTGTTGTTTTTTGTGTCCGCCGTTTTTTTCTTGTTTTGGTTGGTGGCATAGGTGGGTACGTGTGGTGGTGATGTTGTGGTGTTTGTGTAGTTCCACCAACGGGTTGTTTCCTTACCGCATTCGTGGTCCTAGCACATCCCTTATGCCTGCGCGCTGTGTGCAGTTTCGTGTCTTGCCCCATCATCTCGAATGGTCAGTAGACAAAGTATGCGAGGTGGGTAATGTTGCCAGTACTAGCAGTTTTGACTCTATTTCCTTCTCACCCACCCTCCCCACCCCGTGCCCCCCCGCGTCCTCCTCTACAGATTTGTTGAAGATTGCCATCGGATTCACGTCAGAATAGAAACGTGCGCAGTTTTTTATTTAGGGCGTGTCCAAAGCTGCCGTGAGCGCCAGAGTCGCTGTGAGGTGTGTTTTGGTGATGCAAGGCAAGCAGGCCGGGTGGCATAGGCGCTGTTTGTGGGGGTCATTTGGTGGGTCCGGAGGGATCGGGGCGACGCGCATAAGAAAGTGGGCTTTGTTCCCCCACCCGCCCGCCCGCCCTCGGAACGATTGGCCGTCGGTGCTCGGTCATGTGGGAACAATGGTCCGTGCTCTCGAGGACGGGTGGCCAATGGTCTAACCAACCGCTTAGGAATGCAAGACTCGTGTCGTTCTCTACCTCCGCTTGTTTGCGGAACACGGGACAAGGGCATCGAAAGGGTTGGGCTTGCCGGTCGTTGCCGAACGGCACACGGAGGGTAACGTGGAAAGCAGCAGCCCTTGTTTTGCGCCGCTACTGCTGTAGGCGCTCCTAGCGCTTTCACCACGGTCGAGCGCGTAGCGTACTGGCAACGCGACACATGGGGACGTTCGCCTGACGGTTAAAGAGGCGTTTTTTATTTTGTGTGTGTCGCACGACGGAGTACGTGGACGTCGCGGTCTTCGAAGACGATGCTGTTGTGAAGTTGGGAGAACATTAAAGCGGGTCGAGAGATACATAGATGAGGGGCTGTTGCGATCGTGTGTAGGATGCCGCAATCGTGCACCCCGCCCCGGCTTGCGTCATCTACCGAACCAAAACTTTAGTCCACACCCGCTCACGTCTGCAACGCATGTTTTGTCCTTCTTTTTGTTTCTGCGGGAACTTGCGTCTTGCTTGTGATGCTCCGTATGATGGTCTCCGAGCTGTTTGCACGGCAAGTCTCCTTTTCTCCGGTCCTTTCGTCGTGAGGGGGTTCCGCCGACTCAAGGGGGATTTTTTCGAGGGGGGAGGGGGGGATGACCACTCTAATTTCCAATGAACACCCGCACCCGGGTTTGGTATCAGGCGCGTTTTGTTGGAACCAGCGGGTGAATATAGCCTGTTTTGTCGGGGAAGTAGGCGTGTGGAATCGAGCACGAGCGCGTAGCCTCTTGACTGTCTGTGTTGTCGTTGTCGTCTTTGGTTGTTTTTTTATTCTCCGCTCGGTCTTCGTTTTTTCACAATCAAACAGGTTTCACATGGTTTCCGGCTTTTATCTACTCCGGCGTATTTGTATATTTTTGGTTCATCTGAAGACTGTCGATGTGGGTTGGCTTCCCCTACCTCGCTCGCTGTGTGGTGTACCTTCTTATTTAGAATAAACACGACGTGCATGGCACTTTATAGCTATACAGATGACCACCACCAGTTGGCTTCCCCAAACTGCCTCGAACTTCATGAGAGCTACAGATGACCGACCCACCATGGTCTTGGGGGGGGGGCATTCGCGTCCGCGTGACCTCGCGGTCTAAAAAATAAAGAAGGTGCGAACAACCGAGAGAGGGCCAACGACCCCAATGCCGTGTCCTGGCCGACTGCGATGATTCATCCGCAACATCGAAGTCCCGAGATCACCGCGCCGGCAGCACCATGCTACTTATCCACACGGCATGGCGTTGCCAATTTCATGTCTGAGCTCTCTCGCCCCCTCCTAACTCCCAAGCGATATTTTCCCAAAGAACAAGTTTGAGACAGAGAAGAATCGTTCGACTGGACGATCGCCTGTCTCTCCAAATTGTTGCCCCAATTGCAAACTTGTTTTGTGCTGCGGCAACAAACAAGACGAACTCTTTTTTGGTAGATATCTCGGCACAGAAACTGAGACTGCTTTTCTCTTAGCTCGCAACCAGCCTTTCCCTCTTCGCGGCGACCTTGCATGACCAAACTGTCTACGGCTCGCCTCGTCCAGAAATTCAAGTCAAATCGGGGAAGTATAGCCGTGGCCCACGGCAATCCAAAAGATGTTGACCGCCGGTTGTAGGAAAGCGCGATGGATAGCCACCTTGCATCGAGCGCCCTCCTGCCACATATATGCCCATCAACGAGCCAGACTAGCAGTTCTGCCTTCTGGTTTGGAAACCCATCTTGTGGAGGGTGACTGGGAGAATCCCCCCCCGTGCCGTGTTGCAGCCCCCCGCTCGTGAAGCCTACACCTGCCATTTCTTGAAGAAATCGTTTCCTGCGGTTGTAGGGTGGAAAATAAGACAACGGAAGTGAACGTACGGCAAGAGCGACCGAGTGGGTGTAACCAGACGCTCCGGGAGAAGACACAACGCTTCGGAGACGTACAATAGCCCGTGACAGAAAGCTTGGATCTGCAGCAACAAAGTACCCTGTCCGATGAGTGTGACATGGTGCTGTGGCAAAGGCGGAGTGATCCCGATTATTTCGCCTCCCGTCGCTACCCGTTTCGAAAGCATGACGCAAGGTTTTAACGCTGTGACGGCACTCGCTCTCGTCCGTTGCTGTTCCGTTGGAAGGGGATTTCGGCTACCGTTTGGCCGAGCGCTTAGGTGCTCACGGGGACGCCGCTACGATCATATTTCGACACATGCGACTGGTGGCCCCAACTCCATCCATCACGCGCAGGCTCTACGTGCGTGATCATGCCATGACAACATCTACAAAGCACACACACAAGAGGGTGATGCATTTTCATTGGTCAGTCTGCTAGCGCGGTCGATGCCAATAATAGAAGCACACACACAGAGATTGACCGTTAAAGTCGTCTTCCGATTCTAGTCGCATCGAGACTGAAGCACTTTCATTGGTCAGTCGGCTAGCGCAGTCGATACCAATAATAGAAGCACACATACACACGGACATCATGGGCGTTCGAAACGTGTTCTGTTTCTAACCTCACCGAGAAGGACGTATGTTCATTCATTTGGTCAGCCGGCGAGTGCACAAATACAGGCATCCCACTACACATACAGCACACGTCGGACGTTCTCACAAAAACGTCTTCAACGGCGATTGATGGCGAAGCTACCACACAGGCTCTACGATAGTGATCCATGAACCGACAGCAATATCAAACATACACACAGAGAGCGATCATGGTCTTTAGGAAAGTCTTCCGTTTCTGGCCGCACTGATGTTTGACGTCTGTTCGTTTGTCAGCCGGCAGGCGCGCGGTCGGTGCAAATAATACAGCTTACAAAAAAAAATGCGAAAGGCCTTCAACGGCGATGGCAAAGCTAGCCCGCGCGTAACGCCACCGCGAACACGACGCGTCGGACACTCAAAAACAGGACATTGGAACAAAACGCTTCTACACGGTGATTGTGATGGCGAAGAAGTTATCCCGCGTGTAACGGCGCTGCTGACCTTTCCCATCGACGACGATGAACGCCGGGAAGTTTTCCACCTCGATCTTCCACACCGCCTCCATGCCGAGCTCCGGGTACTCCAGCACCTCCACCTGTGTGCCATCCCGTCCCGTCCCGCGAGAAAAAGACAAGAGACCGGTACCGTACCATCAGCATCCGTGGTGCGGGCGGGGATATAAAGTGCAGAGTTCAAACACCGCAAGAGGCGGAGAGATGGCACCCCCGTGATAGCGTTGTTCTATAGCGTGTCTCCACAACCCGGGGGGTATCACTGCCGAAAAGGGTAGTAGTACTTCTGGAAACATCTTGTCGAGGGCTTTCCCGAGAGGTATCGGTTGGCGTTCGCACCCTCCTAGTTATGGAGAAAAAACGCCGGGAAAAAACGCTAATACAGAGGGGTGCCATCTCTCCGACTCTTACGGCACGTACGCATAGAGGTAAGAGTGATCGCTCCGGAGTGTGCTCATCAGCAGTGTCATCTAGGGGTGATTCCAGATGAGTTTTTTAATTCAGGCAGCAGGACCGGCTACCAGTTGGATGTGATCTTTCCCAAGCTCGAACAGCTCACACAGCAGTTGACGGTGTTTGTGACTCGAAGAGCCCAGCGAACTTCAACGAACAGAAAGTAATGTTTTCATCTTTCCCCCAGTCTTACGTACGCATACACGTAGGAGGCGAGTTTACCAAGTTTCAGCATGACTTTTGCTTGTGCGGAGGCGGAAGGATGCACCTAGCAAGGCCAATGCCATGCTCCTGTATGGGAGGTGGACTCCAGAGCTAGACCGATGGACATATGCGAGAAATACGCTACCCAGCCGTGCCCTGCCCCGAGACAAGCGAAACGGGTGCAGTGAACCTGCCGGACTCGAAACAAAACAAAGTTGTATCGTCGCGGACAGCATCCCCCACCTGTGAACACTCGCAACACTCTCCACAACCCTGCCAAAAACCTCTCGTGACTATGGCATCATCCGGACGATATCACCCGGTACATAGCATGCTTGGAAAGGGAGAAGGGTTTCGAAAAAGAGACGGGGTGGTGTACTCATGTAATTTCATGCCGTAGTCCGGTGGACCGTAGACCTCGCATCCCTACAACATGCCGGGACGGGGCGATGTGCCGGGTTTTCGCCGGCCCAGGCTAGGCTTCACACGGATGGACCAGAAGCTTGTCATCATCCCTGCTTTTGCTGCGCCAAACCAGATAGCGGTGGAGGAGACGCGGAGAGACATCGACGGGAGAATATCCAACCATTTTTTTTTTTTTCACTTTTAGAAGTGTTAACTATGCCCTCTCACCTTCCTTATGCAGTTTTGGGCGAGGATAGCCGCGGGGCCCCCGATAGACCCCAGGTAGAAGCCCCCGTGCTCCTTGCAGGCCCTGGTCACCTGCTTGCTCCTGCAAAAGAAAGGCGTGCACAAAAACAAGAGGGCCTCGTCATCCTCCTCGTGTACGTCCTCTGCGCCGATAAATAGCGGCCCAAGGCAATGGATGCACAAAAACCGAAGGCAATGTACCCACATAAAACACGCGAGGCTCTTGTACAGAAACCGGCTTTCGAAGAGTACGTTTCGCCCCCCTGAATCGGCACATCGATCCATCGGTACAAAACAGCCGTTACGCCAACAAGGAGGAAAACGTCATATTCCTGTTTCGTGGTCCCCGAGAACTTGTGATCCTCGGCTATCGGTAGCCTACGCCAGTGCGCCCAAAACAAACGGGCGAAAATCTCGCCGCATTGACAAAGAAAGGAGCAGCTGCCGCGGCATTGGTGAAATCGCTTGCGTTGGCATTGCCGGCCGCCCTGAGCATACGACAGAAGAGATGGGACGAACAAGATGTAACACAGCCACTCGCACACCACGATCTACCTGTTCCCCTTCGCGAGCGTGACGAAACTGCCGCCGTTTCGCATAAAGCTGTCGACGTAGCCGTCCATCCTCCCCGCCGTGGTCGGGCCGAAAGAACCGGAAGCCAGCCCTTCGGGTGTCTTCGCTGGGCCTGCAACAAAAAAAAGAAAAAATGCCCGAGATGGAACCATTCAGTACAACGAAACACATCAACAAATTTTCACACAGAAAAAGAAAAAGAAATCATTATGACCAATCCGTCGCTGACGGACCCCAGGAGGCGGTTTTTCGGGTAGATATGGTATACCTTGAGAAAATATATATATATATTTGCTTCAATGATGCAGATGTGCTGGCAATTGCGTCATCACCCACGCGCCACGGCGGACAAGCACACAAAACAACATGAGCGATCACGAGAGTGGAGGGGACGAAATTGTCCCCCCCAACGCGTGTTTTGTATATATACTACCATGTTTTTGTTTGTTCCTTTTTCCTACTGTGACCCTGGCCGCCTTTGATTGCTGCCAGAAAAGATGGGCCTAACACACCGACGCAACGTTTTCTTGTCGATCAATTTTCACGCTCACTGGCGTAGTATACAATAAAACATACCATGGGTGGTGGTGTAGTACTTTTGGAGCAAAGATATACGAAACACAGTGGGGGGTTCACGCTTGGTTATACAGTACCCCCCAGGACCTCTTGTGGCATCCAAGAACAAGCTCTTCGTCACCCCCACCGCCACCACTAAATAACTTAGCAGTTACGACCTCGAGCCTAAAAAAATAAAAAAGCTAAGAATTTGGCCATAAGAACAGGTGCTCCTACACTAAAACGTAAATTGTCGCCGTGGGGGTACAGCAGTGTACCGTACCCCATACGCAAAACAAGAAACGAGCTTCGGCCACAACAAGAGGTTCACAAGTGGTGGCAGCGTTATTGTATAGCTTCGATCTCGCGTACCGGCGTAGTATATGATGTGATCCTTCACGTAGTCCGGCAGCCCCTTCCCGGCGTCGATCCTCTCCTGCAGCTTGGCGTGGGCGATGTCCCTCGCCACCACAATGGTGCCCGTGAGGCTAAGCCGCGTCCTGACCGAGAATCCCCCGAGGAACTCTCGGATCTTGTCCATCGGTTGGTTCAGGTCCACCTGCACCACCTGTTTTATTTTGTTTTTAATATGAAAATATGTTTTCGTTCTTGCTGGTGTTGTTGTTGTTGTTGTCGGGGTGTAATGGCAGTGATAGCATGTAACCACAACTAGGGGATGTAACCACAACTAGGGGATGTAACCACAACTAGGGGATGTAACCACAACTAGGGGATGTAACCACTACTAGGGGATGTAACCACAACTAGGGGATGTAACCACAACTAGGGGATGTAACCACAACTAGGGGATGTAACCACGACTAGGGGATGTGGAGTTATCAAATACCACCGCCGCCGCCTTGCCCTCGCCACGGCCACTGCAGTCACACTGCACAAGAGCCAGCAGCAGCAGCAGTGGCAGCAAACAACCACACACAAAACCATCAAGACTGAAGTTATTCGCCTTGTCGATCCTAACAACGAAGCCACACACACACATACCCGGCTTCTGAGACTGACGTCTTATAACTGGTCAGCCGGCTAGCGCGCTCGAACTCGAACCTAGTTCACTCCCTCACAGGAACCCAGATCATCGCCTAACGAAAATTGTCCCGTTTTTTTTAGTCGCACTGAGACTGACGTGTTTATATTGGCCAGCCGGTAGGCGGGGGTAGATGCCAAAAAATAGAAACATAAACCGACACAAACACATGTTTTAATTGCGCATTCTTCAAATTTTGGCCCCGTCCCAGGGACCTCGATTTCATCCGCTGGCACTGGTGTCTTTTCATTGGTCAGCCGGTTAGCGCGGTCGATGTTAGTTCAAACAAAACACCAAACACACACACACATGTTAGAAGCATTTCCTATTTTCAGTCGCACTGGGACGGGCGTCTTTTCATTCGTCAGTCGGTAGGCGAGATGCTAAATAATTTACCACAAAAAAAAAAAAAAACACACACACACATATATACATACCTCGGGCGAAATCTGCGACTCGTCGACCTCCGGCAAGTACTGCCCCACGTCCCTCTCAAGCTTCTCCAGAAAAACGCCCTCCGAGGTTATTTTTCCGAGAGCCTGGCGGTCCGCCGAGCAAGACACCCCGATGCCGACGGGGCACGAAGCTCCGTGTCGGGGTAACTAGAAAAGTGGGGTGAGAAAAAGGGGAGGGAGCGGTGGGGTTAGGGACATAATGACCTCGCGATTGGGTTCTGGGGAAAGGTCTACGGGGGGGAGGGGGGGTGTGACATCGGCTACCGCAGGTGACATGGGACAGGATACCACGTCCACTTAACCGGTTTTCAAAGCTCGATTTCTCTACAACAGAACGGGTATAAGCGCCGAACATGGCGGCGTTAAAGCCGTCTCGTGGAGAGCCTTCCGACAGCGTGTCGGTTCGTTCTGCATCCTCTTCATCGTGGAGTAATCGAGCTTCGAAGATCGACAAAGGGGGTGTGGTATTTTGTGTCACCTACGGTATGAGAACATCGAGTACAGAAGACTGCTGTATACAGATTTGAATTTTTTTCTTTTTTGAGGTTCGTTCAGGTTCGCCGGGCTGTTCGAGTCAACACACGCCAGCTGTGAGCTGGTCCTGCTCCAGCTTTCATTTTCATTTTTTCACTACCCAAGCCCTATAGATGACACTTGTGTCTCATAGGCCCACTCCGGAGGGATCACCAAGTAACCCCGACAATTGTTCTCCATACACACCCGGATAACACGGACGTCGTGGCAGAAGTACTTGCCGCCAAACTGAGCCCCGATCCCCATTTCCTGGCAGATCTTGAGCACCTTGTCCTCCCATTCCAGGTCTCGGAAGGCGCGACCGGAGGTATCCCCGGTGGTCGGCAAGCCGTCCAAGTACCTGTGAGACCCCCCCCCCCCAAAAAAAAAAACGCGCAGCAGCGGTGGAAATACCGGGCCTCTCCTGAGCGATGAGGTATTTTGAGGGTTTTTTGGTGCGTTAGGCCATATGCTCGAGCAGTGCTGACAAACGCGAAATGGGACGTATTTCTGGAGTCCCACACGACAAAAGCAGTCTCGATTTTTCCGGCCTCTGGGCTTCGGCACACACACGACCTAAAACCAAGGCTGCCACGTCATGTCCCTGCAAGCATTGCCGCCTCTGCTGCACCCGCGATAGAAAGTATTGCGTACACCAGCGAACACCCGACTCATATCGGGTGGGGAATCACCCCTCCCCCCCCCGCCCGGTGTTTGCCATCGGGGTTTGGGTTTTCGTCGCTTGGCAACGACGTTGTAAAACAAGCCCCCCACTCGGTGTTTGCCATCGGGATTGGGCTTTCGTCGCTTGGCAACGACGTTGTAAAACAAGCCAATTCACTTCGTGAACTCGGCAACCAGGTTACCGTTTTTTTTTTTTTTTTACCTCGGTTTTTTTTTTTGGCGGTAACCATAATGGTGGTCGAGTAGATCATGTTGTGCGGGGTGGAGAAACCTCACTCCGCGCAACGGGGGATGATCGCACCACGTTGTGTTAAAATGGTCAAGCTTCCTCGAGGCAGTTACACAGTGCTTACAACTGTCTCTGGAAGTGAAAGCACCAGAAAATAAATTAAGTCATACGTAGCTGTCATCCGTACGCAAGGAAGTAAGCACAAGATGCCGAACACCCTTAGCAGGATGCAGCTCACCCTTCATGCAACTCGCCAAATACCTCACGGCGCTTCGCGCTTGGTGATGTGAGAGCCTGGTCCGGTGAGAACCCGGCGTGCTCCGTCCCGGCTTTGTAGGGATGCGAGGTCAATGGTCAAACGACTACGGCATGCACGACTATGAGTACACCCCCCCCCCCCGGGGTTTGCCATCGGGGTTGGGTTTTCGTCCCTTGGCAACGGCGGTGTAAAACAAGCCGCCCCCCCCGGTGTTTGCCATCGGGATTGGGTTTTCGTCGCTTGGCAACGACGTTGCAAAAGAAGCCCAATCACTTCGTGAACTTGGCAATCAAGGTACCGGGTTTTTTTTTTTACGTCGTTTTTTTTTTTTTTGGGGGGTACCATGAAAGGTGGGCGAGTAGATCATG